TTGCATCATTAATGACGTTTTAAAAAACTTATGAAGCCAATTTGATCTTTAGTTACATTACATAAATAAAAATTTCAACCAAAAAGCTAGAATTCCTTTACATGCTTATGAAGGCTTTCAGAAACAAAAGTTCGGCTTGTCAGGTACCTTAGAGCATCGAGTGTACACACCTAGTGTACAATATAATAAAAATTATGGCATTTCAATTTAATATTATATATTATTGTATGTAATATTATATATTATTGCTGGGGCCTGAAGCATGTAATATAACTTTGTTATATTCAGAACATTTTAATGTATATTTGGCGTTTAGTGCTTTTTCCAGCAAACTTGCTGAGTTTTAGAAGGTTGAAAGCGTTCTAAGTAATAATATTGATACGAGATGAAAAAGGCAAAAAATTTAACTCATCATAAAAAAATTGTTTTACCTCCGAACCTTCAATATAACTTCATGCTTTCATTAAAACAATCGCTTTTTTTTTCTAATAAAGCTTTTTTCTTTCTCACTTATGCTCACAAAAAAATATTACAATACCATTGTTTAATTCTCAATGACGACTCTTTGTTTTAATTTCTAATCCATGATCTAATCAATCAATCTGAAAATTACCTGAGTATAATATATAAATAGAGTAATTTAGTAGTAGCTTTGAAAAAAAAATTTAACTTATTGGAATACCAACGACTATCTTACAGAGTACGAACTGAAATAATAATGGAGAGCTAATTATAGGTTACACATTAAGTTAATGAGCTTTAAATTATAACTACATAAATAGAAACTATACTATATATGTAATGACATTTTCGCAACGCTTAGTACTCCTACTCGTCAAAAAACAAACTACTAATAAGACACTTCACCGATGCAACACTAGTGTTAAAAAGGTAAATATCAACCTGCTTGGACAAGACTTTGAAGCTATTACTCGCACGCAAGAGATACATGCATTCCGCCAAAAATTCGAAGAGGCCAGAGGTACGCACAAAAGCGAATTAAACCTAAGGGTCTTTATAGGGGCTCTAAGAGATATCTTGGACACGAATTCCGAGGAGTCCACGGCACCAGAAGCAATTTTTCGCAAAAATACTGGGTGTGTTATCTAACGTCGCACCTCTAGTGACAAAAGATGATACACACTTACATATATCAAGGTACCGGTTTGACTCGTACCGCTCCCTAGCCTCCTAAGCCTAGCGCCTCTCAAGCAGATGTCCTGGGTTCGAATCCGGGCTCTGAGTGTCTCGAAATTTAATTTGAAATTTTCGACGAGCTTTTCGGTGAAGGAAAACATCGTGATGAAACCTGCACGTCAAAAAAGGTTCACAACCCGCAGACCTGAGAGAAGACACGGGTCTTCTCTCAGGGCCCAGCAGTGAAACTTATAAATAGGTCGCTAATGGTAACATCACCTTAGCTTGGCAGTCTTTTCGCCCACAACAGCAATATCCCTGTCATGTCGCGCAGTATGATAACGTATTTTTTTCCGGCCGAGCGATTTAACATCACTGCTTGCTTTGTGAAATACTTTTGTATATTTATGGTCGAGTATATTTTTTTTTTTTTTATTTATTCGACACGAATTTCATGGCGCTCACCCCGCGCGGTCGCCGAGTGGAGTCCGCTTTGCCGCCGCGCAGCGACCGCGTGCATCTGTCATGGCAAAATACGCTTAAATGAGCATCCCGGGCAATGTTGCCAGACTTTTAGGAAATTAATTCGCCAATTTATGAGTGCTAAGTAGCCGATATTCGCCCAAGCCATAAAATCCCTAATAATCAAGCAAAGCAATTTTGTTTGCTGCTAGATATACTCAAACCCCCAAATGAATTGTTTACAACTCCATTCCCCACAAAATCCCCAATCAAGTTATTAATTCCCCATACATTTGATTAAGTAGCCTAAAATAGCCTTTTCCTTTTTCAAAAACAGTCTAAATATCGCCGAGTCGCCGATCACTTTTTTAATCGTCGCGCAACCCCTCGGAGTAACCCAGTTGGCGAAAAATCGTCTAATCTGGCACCAGTGGTCCCGGACACGCGGAGAGCTTGTCTTGAATTTGGTTTACACGGCGGCCGCGACGACCGCGCGGTTGTGTTATTCAGAGGAATTCAAATGTTGTGGCATAGTAAATATAATTCAGATTCGCCATTAATGTACACGAAGGCGTGGTAACTGAGCGGTCGAGTTACACGAGGAAAACTTTTTGAAACATTAATAATCGGCTTCAATCTCGAAAATACTATCGTTCATTCATTTGGTTGTAGCTATGTGTTCTCTTTATATGTCCCATTCTGGACCATAACATAAACAAAACTAACAACAATAACAAATTTGATACACGGCTATTATTTCTCGTTAACCGATACGTAATACGTGATCTATTGCTTTTTTATTCCAATAATTTATACCGTATGTAACTAAATATGCCTTATCTCCTTACTTTACTACGTTGTGTGTAATGTAGTATTACACTGTCATGCAACATAAAAATTATGTATTCATTAATCGACTACAGTCATACATTTAACAGAAACTCATCTAGAATTGTTATTTTGTAATAAGACAATTATAATTTCGAGTTCTTGGATTATCACGATTGTTACACATAGGAAATGAAACTACTTTTTTGGATCTAAAACGTGTATATTTGTTTTTTTTTTTTTTCAAAGAAACCAACGTTTCGGGCCATTTACAGGTACATGGTCACGGTTGACTACAACGGTAAAGTCATCAACCAGTTATGTGTAATATTAATTATTAATTCACTTTTTTTTTTAATTTATTTAATAATTATAAAAACATTAACACGTCGAGTTCTTAGGTTTTCGCGATTATTACACA